AGGGATGATTAGCTACTCCATTGTCTTCTTCCTCCGTTCTTGAAAAACCTCTGCAAGCGAGAACTGGATTTGAGTAGGAGCGGATAGACACACTGGCTGTGTTGTCGGTGTGATAGATCAGCCAAGAAACAGTCTTTCTCACTCTTGGAACTTGATGCTTGTGCTCTGATCTCTTGGACGCTTCCAAACTTCCAGGAGCTCGTTTTCAAAGGAGAAGGCCTGCCATCTCCATGCAGCGTAGAATTTCGCCAGCTGGGACTTGATTCTGGAAAGTGTCTGTCTGGTGTGCCATGGGGAGATGGGAAATACGCTTTCACAGAGACCTGGATAAGTTACTTGAAAGTTTCAACACTAAGAAAGTGTGTAGAGAGAAAGATCTTAACTCATCTCCCTGTGTGTGTGAGGTGAGTACTGGATGATTGGACTAGCTCCAAGATTTGAGCATTATGGTTTAGTTGTTGGCATTAGAAAGACAAACCACGAAAATGGGAATGGGGGCCAGGAGGAAGGGTTATATTGATTAAAAATATAGTTGACCACTTGAGATATTAATTTAACTCTTGTTGAGCTATGTTGTTCCTTGTTCTTTTGTTGAATTTGGCTTGGGTCTAAACCCAAACTTTATATTGCTTTAGTTGATATGGTATTCCACTGGTATATCAAAATTATGTCAAACATCATTTACATGTAGAAGCTGGATATAAGGAATTAATGCTTGTAAGGAATACTAAGTGTATATTGGACCTTTGTTTCATTAAGTTTAGAGTTTTGTAAATACACTACATAACACTAAATTGGTATGCAAAATAGAGCCAATGGTGGCTTAACTCAAGAATATAGGTACTCCATTAGCTAATATATTATGAAGTTTGAGTTTAAACCCAAGTTAGATGTAAAACAAAGATAAACACACCTAATGGGGAGTTAAACAATGTCTCAAGTTAGTCAATTATACCATTCTACCCACTATCCTTTTTTTACATTCCTTATAAAGTACCACAATGATCCAAGCTTATTCATTTTGCCTTTATATCTTTGGAAAATATGTGATAAAATCTATGGATATGCTCAATCTATATCCTCCAAGATAGGCAATAGCACCAAAATCCTACCAACATTTCCTTTGGCACTTTTACTTACTAATAATTCTTGTATATTTTACAATACTCAAGAATGTCATTTTTCATTTTATTTCAAAAGAATCTACACTTGATCAACTTATAAGTCTTTCTCCCTCTAAAATGGCCAAAGTTTTAGGCAAAGAGTTAGAATAATCTTAATAGGAATCACACAATATTTCTGACTAGTCTAGAGTTTTTGCTATCAAGGCACTTAGATCTATAAGCATTATATACTTTGCTATATAATGGTCATAGGTATCTTAAACTTTATCATCATAATGTAAGAGATTAGCATGCAAGCTCATTATACTTCATAAGACAATGCTATTATGTTCTAGTTTATTAAAAGTTTTTTTCTTATTAAGAGTGCTTTAACACCTTTTATACAAACTAACATAGTCTATACCATTAAGAATTGTAGTAGCACATGTGGTTTTCACTCTTTACCTTATGGTAAATTACCATAGTAGTGTAAGACACAAATCTCTAAATCCCAAAATAAAGCTAACGATTTGCCATATAATAGTGGCTAAAGTAGAAGTCCAATAAATATAATACATTTAAACCAAAAGCTATGACTTAAAAAGTTAAGAGAGGGAGTGGAACTCTCAAAGAAGCTATTAAAGAATAAGCACAAAATGATCAATAAGTGAGTGGATAAGTGTTAAGATTAAGTTTGAGACTGAGTTAAGTCTAAGTCTGAATACTAATACAAGTCATGGGATGAAATCCCAAAGTGTTTATCTTTTAAACCCTAGAAGGTTTGGTATGAGATATATTAGGGGGAAGGACTCTTAAGAAATTAATATGACTAATAAAGGTTATATTCACTTGGTGGGTGATAATATAAACACCAAGGAGTCCAAGGCTGAGTGAATATGGAGGTGTGAAGTGTTCAAAAGCCTCTAAGAGATAAAATGATTAATGCTCAATCCAAGTGTGGATAGCACTACCTATTTTAATACCTTATATAGCTCATTAGAACCTTGCTTTAGCTATGTAATTGGGACACTCTGATGAAAAAAGGTAGGGAAAGTAGTATGAAGTTTGTGTTGTGCTGTGGTGTTTTAAAATATCATTCTAAAATCCTAGACTATGGAAAGGAATAGTGGTCTTTTTACTTAATAACTAAAAATATAGTTATATGCTGAGGAAGTCTTATAAGTTAATGGGACTTATAAAAAAGGCTTTTAGGCCTTGACCCAATGGTGGTATTAACAAGTAAAGGGGAATTTTGTGGGGATTAAAAAAGGAATATTAGGAGAGGATGTTCCTTTATGTTTTAGGGCATCTTAAAGATGTTCATGATGGACAATCTAGTTTTAAAGAGACTAAACTATAGTAAAGGTTTTATATATGGCCTTAGTATAAAAAGTTAATATATCAAAGGCATCTTTAGGTGTTTGAAGTGTATGTGAAGAATTTAAACTAAATGCAAAGTTAATATGGC